AAGACCCTCAGAAGCTGAGGCCTCCAGAATCTTTTCCCAGGACTGCGGCCACCCCAATCATCATGAGGAGGCTGAAACTTGATGCAAACAGCAAGAGGCTTTAATGAAAGGTAGACGTTTGTACAAACGGGCTCTCTTAGCATTCAGGCTAGAGAGCAGCTCCGTCCCCCAGGCACAGGCATTTTTAAAGGCAAAAACCTTAGGGAAGGGCCTTGACTCTCTGTTGAATATGTGACCAGAGTTATGGGTTCCTAGGAAGCCCTTTGTCTTGAGGGGAGGCCTGGGAATCAGATAGCCTCCTGACCCCACCAGTTGTAAAACCTGCAGACCTCAGGATGTGCTAACTAATGGTAGCTATCTCTTTGTTTCACAGGGACCCTTAATTGTTAATGATTGACACACTGGCCAGTGGGGCAATCTGTTTCCTTCATGAGCCCCTCGGGGAGGTTGGCCATCTGGGAATTCTTGGTACCCAGTTATCTTGTGGCCTTGTAAGGGAGTAATTGCTGGTGGCTGGTAAATTCCAGGCACTAAGTCATAGTAGTAGCCTTGGTCAGTTTCTGGGCTATATTTCTTTGCTAATTTTTAAGTTTTTCATAGCACTCCCTGCCGTGGCTCTGTAGAGGTCCTGGACGGACCTTCTAGGGCAGGAAACCTCAGTTAAGTCACCCCATAGATTTGTCTCAGGGCCTGAGGCAGGCCCCCATAGTAGTTTCACTACAGGGGATTTCCCTGGGCATCTCTCTTAGAGCTACATTCGTATGCCCAGTGCCTACCTCTCATATAACTGGGGCATAGACCCGGTTCCCTATTCTCTCCCCTGTTAGGACATTGCCTAACTTGGTGTCCCTTTTGGCCACATCCAAAGCAACCTCCAGAAGGCTTCATGCCTTTCTTTTTCCCTGCATCTTGCTTTTTCTGTGGGAACAACATATCCTTAACTGAAGTCCCTTGCAGGGTGTCCACCATCGCCAGTCCCTGAGTGTAAGCCAGTCCGATAGCTGCACAAATCTTAATAAATTCATCTATGTCACCCTTCTTCCTGAGAGGCCTTAGCACTGCCTGGCATGCCGCATTAGCATTCTCATAAGCCAGCTGCTTTACGACCAAAAAGTCCAGCCTCTGTTCCTCCCATTATTCTAGACGACGCTTGCATTAGTCTAGAGACAAAGTCCTGAAACAATTTGTCTGGCCCCTGTCTGATTTTCGTCAAATCCTCCGCGTGCACACCAGCAGCTGGAAGTTTATTCCAAGATCTATATTCTTGTACTCCCCTTCACCAGCGAGCATCTCATAAGAAACAGGAAGGCCTTGGGCACTATTTTTCTCAGCTGCGACCTGACACTGCTCTGCAAAGTCTGTTTCCACAACAGATAATCTCCCCCAGACAGGCAGGCTTTGGCTATCTGCTTCCAATCCACTGGGGGTAGAGCTTCTACAGCCATATTCTCTACCAGTGTCTGGGTAAAAATCGCTGTCGGTCCATACTGGACACAGGCCATCTTTAGTTCCTTGAGCTGCTTGAACAGTATAGGCGCATGCCTTCTGCTTGTGTTCCCTTGAGCATCTGTAACCTCCAATATAGGGAACGCCTGAAACACTTATACGTCTTCTCCTCTGTCAGCCACCTCTCTAACAATAGCCTGCACTAGACACCTGCCCTGCTGCAGCTGCCTGTCCTGGCTTGAGGGATGCTTGCCACTTGGGCTGATCGATGTTTGCAGCAGTTGCAGACAAAAGCACCTTTCCCTCACCTGAGGAAACCTACAAGGTTTCTTGTGAGAGGGATTCCACTAAGTCTTTCAAGCCTCTTAAATTAATTCTTGCTGCATCTTGCCCTTAGGTCTCTGATCATCTGTTTTCCTAGTCGAAAATGAGAGAGGTGAAGACTCTTCGCCCTGGTATTCAGTAGCTCTCTCCTCATACTTTTCCCAATTACGTTTCTCTACATATGCTTCTTTTCCTGGTCTTTCCTTAGTAGGCATGGAGGGCCTCATCACCCTGCTAACTGGTTCTGAGGCAGATATCCTGTGTGGCTTAGTACCTGATTCTAAGCTCTCCCTTATAATTGTCCATAACCAAAGAGTATCTGTAGATACACTTTCAGGCCCCTGTTCATAATAACGCTGTCAGATTTTTAATCTGACCTCATTCCATAAATTGGAATCTATATTCCCATGTTCAGGAAACTCAGGCCACATCTGCTTTATAAATTCTACGAAATTATGTATGCGTTGCTGCTCAACTTCTGTTCCTTTATTTTTCAAAATCTCTCTAATTGACTGCACCATCACCTGCTTGCACTTCTTAGTCCCATATTTACAGTTATATACAATTTTACTCCTGATTTAATGTCATTCACTCACCGTAATTATCATTTCTTTCCGCACGCGCTTCTCTTCTCTTTTTCTGCAGTGTCCATCATATCTGTCCCCCGTATTCAGCCCCACGTTTCGGCTCCAACTGTTCCAGACCCCTGACTTCAGGACTGTGAATGGAGCCAGCTGTACAGTCCTGGGTCCAATTGTGAGTGGGGGTGTGTAGACTAGGGAAATCTAATTACCCAAAGGTGGTAATGATGAGACAGGAAACACCATATCATATCAGTAGGGCTCCCAGCTGATGCTGAGAAGCCACAGTTTATTGAGAAGTCCATTTAAATAGTCTTCCAAGGGCAAGGCAGCATCAAGAAGCATCTATTATGATGTATATAGCTAATATCAAGTGATTCTATTGATTCAAGCATTACCTAAACAGCTCTCAGTCACATAGACAGAGTTCTCAGTCCAGGCGTGGGCCTACTCAAAGCTTAGGCCCATAGAGATGCAAACTAGGAGGCATTCTACTCTGAGGCCAAGGTAAACAATAGTAGACCTGCTGGAATTAGCAATACAATAGTGGGCCGGAGCTTTCGGGTGCTCCTGTTTACTGAAGCCAGAGGCTGGACCTTAAGACATTCCATAATGGAACTTTTCTTCTGTCCTGACAGTGTGTCCAGACTCAGGGTGGGCCTTCTGGTCTGGGCAGTTCCACTCTTGTAGGGGGGCGATGGTTTTAGGCAGAAGCAAGCAGGGATTGATGGGGGAGGTTGGGGGGGCAGAGCAGCACCCAGAATCACCTGAGGCTCGGGCACCCGAAGCAGGACAGAGGGCAGAGTGTAGACAGGGGTGAGGTGTTTCCGGACTCAGGGTGGGTCTTCTGGTCTGGGCATGTCCACTCTTGTGGGGGGTGGGGAGGGGCAGGTGTTTCAGACAAAAGCAAGCAGGGGTTGATGGGGGAGGTTGGGGGAACAGAGCAGCGCTCAGACTCACCTGAGGCTTGGGCACTCGCTGCAGGACAGATCGGCAAAACACTCTTATATAATAAAATTTTAGGTTTGTAAGTACTTTTGGCAGCAGCAATAAATAAATGTTCTGATGAGGAAAAAAAAATACTATTGTTCTCAAAGGGAAAGGAGACAACCTTAAGAGGCAGGAAAGGGAGAGGGAAGGGATGAATTGAGAGGATTCTGATAACTACCAAAGAGCAGTGCTGACAATCTAAAACAGGTGGACAGTACTAATAGCGCCATCACTAATTTCTACAGTTGCTATCAATAAAAGCAGCCTATTCCCCATGAAGTCATGGAGCTATTGATATGTTCTTTCACACCTTTCTCTAAAGGAATCTAGTCTGAAGCTCAAGAATGCTAATTTAGACTTCCAACTCAAACAAGGTAGGGCATATTAAGCCTAAGTGACCACTCAGTTCAACTCTCCATAACGTATTACTTGTGTAGAGATGGAGACAAACACAGATGAAATAGAACATGCCTCCTTGGTTTACTTTAAAAATGCTTTGACCCCAGAATGACCATTTACTTCAGATGATCCAGGCTATAAGCTAGCCTATCTACCAGTTCTCTGTAGATTCTCCTCTAGGAAACAGAAAAATGATCTAGAAAAGTTAAGTCATTCATTCTTTCATTCGGAAGATTTACTATATACCTATTATGTAACAAGCATGCTACCAGGTACTAGGACTACAATGGTGAAGGAGTCAGGTAAGGTCCCTACTTTCAGAGGGCTTAAAGTCCAATGGGGGAAAGAAACTTAATTATAACAGAAATAAGACACACCTAATTTTAGGTCCAACATTCAGTGGTACATGGAACAAAGTGGCTCCAAAAGTGGGGGTTGGGGGGGTATGAGACGTTAGCTAGAAGATCTCTGCCATCCTGAGTTGTAGTTTTATAGCAAATAGATGTCTCATCACATCCATTTAGCTTGGCTAGCTCCTAGATAAAATCACAGGTCAAGGTATCGCTCTCAACCATCCCTTGATCATCATACTATTCTGTGTAACTCCTGTTATTTGAGTCACCCGTGTGATTCCTATAAACCATGCCTTTACAAGTACATATGTAGACTATTCTTAGAAGTGTATGATATTATAGAAAAATTTAAAAGTTGGGGCATGAAGACTTTAATTTATCCCTAAATTAAAGTAGGAAGGGAGAAAACATGTTACTATGGCCTAGTCATAGTTGGGGTCATGGGAGAAAGGCCACCCAAGAAGACCTTAAGGTGTAAAGACTCAGCCTGTGGCAACTGTGGCACCTTCTGCCCTCCAATCTTATGAGTAACCTGTCTGAATTCAAACCCAACAGTACTCAGCAGAGATCAGTCTTCCAGAGTACAGACCAGAGCCATTAAATGCTTATGTAGCCAGACAGAAACTAACTAGGTCACTACAGTTCACTGTTGACAACTCTCTCAAAAGTGCTATCTTTTAAACTTTACTAAAATAATGTGTGCATTTTGGTAACTTTTTTTTTTTTTTTTTGAAGCTACTTCTTACACCATACTACACAGAGAAAATACTCATTACCCTTCACTAGTGGCATCACCATGGGTTACAGGCCAGCCTGCCTGAACAGGACATAAGAGTCACAATCCATTGTGAGGACATGTGAGTTGTTTCTCAAGTTCTAGAATTCCCAGAGGTTCTGATCCAACATTGGGAGTGTCTGTTCAGTCTCTTCTCAGCTCTTGAGTGTGCCACACTAGAGATCTCTCTATTCCTAAAGCAAAATGAAGGAGTTAATCTTCCTGTGTCTTTATCTGCTTGGATCTGCCAGAGGTAAGTGTTCTTTAAATACAAACCCTAGATAGACATCAGAGGTGGGGGGAGACTTCTCTTAAGGAATTTCTGTCCCCTTCAAGGAAGACCAGTCTTAGTTACCCAAAGAAACCTGACTTGGAATCAAGAGTTAACTAAGCAAAAGGAACTCTGAGCAGTCCTATACCAACCAAGATCTCCCCTAATTACCACCAAGGACCCACTGACCTTACATGTCCCTGCTTCTTTCAACACTTGGGACTGGTGAGACAGCACTTTACCAATACAGCTCAAATCCCTGCTGGTAATTTTTATAGACTGATTTTGTGCTGTCATCTTCTAGTTTAAAGTTTATCCTAGCCAAAGATTAAAGTTTTCTACTGCTGAGTAAAACTCTGTGTCCTATCACCAGAACCAGAAAAGCTAACTTCAATTTAGGATGGAATTACTCAGTATTGAAAGCTGCTGGTGCCAGCACTTGAGAAGCAGAAAGGAATTTCTGCAATTTGAAGACAGCCAGGATCTCATACCCAGACCCTCTTATAGAGGAAAAGGACCATTCGCCTTCTCTCTCCCTCGCTATTTCTAATCTTCTCACCTCACCCACAGAGGAATCGGAAGAAGGGTGCTTTGATTTCTGATTCTGGTTTTGTTAGGTAGGGACATTCATTTCCCTTCATGTGTGTTTCATGCTTACATGAGAGGATCCCACATATACTTCTTGTCTTTAAGTCTCAGAAGTGGTCTTTCCAAACTTTCAAACACTTTTGTCTTTCCTGGTCTCCTGGAGTAGTTAGATGACTTCCCCCAACATCTAAACTGTCTCATCTAGACCGGCCACGAAACCCAGCAGTCCCAATTGTCTGGCTCCACAGGAACTCAGTCTTGATCCCATTCTTTCATCTTCACTATTCTTCTCTTCTCCATCCTAGGAGCACCACCAGGTCAGCCTGATGAGCTCCTTGACTCTGTAGACCACCAAGCTTCTGTTCAGCAACTTTCAAGTGAGTATTTCTCACTCTCAAACCCTTCGGATGCCGAGGCTTTATATGAAACTCCTTCAGGTGAGAAAGGTCTGACAGATCATAGTTCAAGCGAACATGAATCAAGTGAGCATACTTCAGGAGAACACTCTTCAGGTGAGCATACTTCAGGAACAGTCTTCTGAACATATGACAGGTAAGCACATGTCAGGCAAGCATATTATAGCAGAACACATTACAGGAGAGCACATCACGGGCGAGCACACTTCCGTTGAGCACACTTCGGGCGAGCACACTTCGGGAGAATCTGAACAGTCAGAAGTTTCAGAAGCGTCAACTGATCAAGTTTCAGGTGAAAAGACTGAGGAAGCGGGCGAGGCTGCTAGCGAGACTTCAGGTGAAAAGAATGAAGCTATGAGTACACCATTTCCAAGCACATCTTCAGGTGAGCCACAATGGAAGGCTTTTTGAAGGTTGAGGCCGCCCTGGCTACACAGTACAGTTCAAAGGAAGCCTCAGCAATTGAGCAATACCCTGTCTCCAATAGGGAAGAGGAGAGAGGGACAGAGGAAGGGGGGACAGAGGAAGGGGAGGGGAGAAGAAGAAAGGAAGTGAGGGGGGAACACATCAGGAACTCAATTGTTGAGAAGCATAAAGAAGTATAAAAGAATCATTGATATGTCACAAACAGCTCTGTTGAAGATCACAGTATCAGGAAGCATTTTCCAGGTTTCATGTAGCCCTGTGTGTAAGGCAATTTGGAGAACCCCCTTTTAAGAAACATAAAATCAATATAAAGTACTACTAGACTCTCCAACTCCATTCTTCATAAGAACTTACGAAGGATGAGAAAGATGGCTCAGTGGTGACACCTGCAGTCAAGCTTGACAACCTGAGTTCAATAGCCAAGGCTCACATTGTAGAAGGGACCAGACTCCCCGTTGTCCTTTGACCTCCATACATATGCCATTCACAGTAGAAAAAAAAAAAATCTAAAGTTTGATGTCTCAAATTACTATCAGATAAAATATTTCATTTCACCAAATTATGTTTATTATTCCAAATTTTTAGATGAGTAAGGTAAACTGTTATCCCAATGTCAGTCATATTTCTAGAAAGTAGTAAATTAAACTCAGGTCTGCTTGCCGCTTTTCTGCTCTGCTTCTTTATGCTTCTCACTAGGGCTTAGCACTAGAGATAGCATAAGGATGCAGAAGCATTCAGAATGTTGTCACTGATCCAAGGTAACTCTAAAAATAGAAACTGTGCCCGGTTCATGTCTGTTATTTCAGTACTTGGGAAGATGAGGCAGGAGGATTGGTATGACTATGAGGTCAGATTGGACTAATACTCAAAAACCTCTCCCTCCCTCCCTCCCTCTCCCTCTCCCTCTCCCTCTCTCTCTCTCTCTCTCTCTCTCTCTCTCTCTCTCTCTCACACACACACACACACACACACACACACACACAAGGGATGGAGGGAAGAAAGGGAGTGGAAGGGAGGGAGGGAAGGGAGGGAGATAGGGAAGGGAAGAAGGGAATGAGGAAGGGAGGGAAAGAGGGAAGGGACGGAGGGAAAGAGAAGGGAGAGGGGAGGGAGCGAAGGAGGGAAGGAAGGAGGGAGGGAAGGAAGACAGAGGAGGGGGGAGGGAGGAGGTGGCACTCTTTATGGGGCTGGCCACATTCTAGCATGCTTACTGATTAGTTAAACTGGATCCAAGTGTGTTTGTCTTGGGGCGCATCAGCGTATGACAGAGGTTCAGTTACCTAACAGTTTTCTCTTATGAAGTAAACATGGCAGAAGGGCATTTACTTACAAATTTAAGAAGCCAGTAGGAAACAGACTAGAGTAAAAGTGACTCAGATAAATTTAGTATTCATCAGTAATAAAGATTATAAAGAAGAAAAAGTATTATGATTCAGAAAAGGGAACACAGTAGTCCACACTTGTAATCCCATCACTGGGCAATTAAGCAAGATCTTGTCTCCAATAACCAAAAGGAGAGGGAGGAGTTAAGATGGGGAGAGGGACTGGGGGCACAGCTCAGTGGCAGAGCACTTGCCTAAGACCCTAGAGGTTTAATCCCCAGTACTGCTAACTAAGAAATATGTTTACCTTTTGCAACTCACTCCCCATGTCTGACAAAACTAAGTGGTCTGTGGGGAAATTTCATCAAGCTTTTCTCAAATCCCAGGTATAGCAATAAATTGCCACACGTGTGCTTATATGAACGATGATGGAAAATGTCTTCGTGGAGAAGGAGTATGCACCACTCAAAATTCCCAGCAGTGCATGTTAAAGAAGATCTTTGAAGGTAGTAGGAACTACCTGGGGGAAAGTTGCCAGAGAGCACATCAACCGTCTTTTAAATAAAAATGGGAGGGGAGGCAGTAGGAATCAACTTGGGGGTTCAGAAGACTTCATTCCTTCAAGGATTGACCAGAATTCTAGGTACTGACAGGCTCTTATGGGGGTGTGGGGGGGAGTAGAAAAAAGGAAATTGAAAAGTGGCTTCAGAATAAAGAAACATTTAAGTTGTTCCTTAAGCTACTTACATATTGACTACACTCAGAACTGTCTAGTTCGTTCATGGCTATATCTTCTTAGGACACAGTACAATGTACAACAAATGGTTTACAAATGTATTTAGTAGACCCTGAATAAACTAACCAGCAACTGTCTATAGACCTGTGTGCACAGGGTGACAAAACTGAGTGTATAATCTCACATTTCCTCAACCCTTACACTTAGTACTCATCTCCAAACAAGGAATCTTGGTTACTCCCATTCCATGAACCACACTGCCTGACTCTGGTTTGTCCAACCCCTTGATAGAAACAGTCTTCCTGTATTTCTATAATTGCACATTTAACCATCACTGAATAAACATCAACACATACTGCAAGTCTTTCAGAAAGCTGCATCAAACACAAAGTGTACAGAAAGGCTGTGGTCTAACATAAGAAAATTACAGAGAAAAGTGGAGAGGTGATACCTTTTCTCTGGACTTGGGAGGATACACAGCAAAACCTGCAAGATGGCTCAGTAAAGGTGCTTGCCCACCAAGCCTAATGACGTGAGTTTTATCACAGCAACCCACATGGCAGGGGAGGAATGACTTAGAAAATGGCTATGGAATGTGACTAAGAGAATTTTTCTAGCGCATCTTTGAAAGAAAATTTTAAATTCTGAGTACCTGGGGTTCGAATGTGAATGAGATGGAAGTTAAGGATGCTAGCCAGCTTGCTAGGTTTGTAGTGAAGAATAATGGCAGGAAAGTAGCATGGTCCAGAGAGAATAATGAGCTTGATGAAACTACCATGAGAGGAAGAAAATGAAGGCAAAAACAACGGGAATGGGCAGCTGGTAAAGGAAGCAGACAAAAGGAAAGGGATGAGAAAATAAACACACGAAAGTCCTGGTATCCGCGCATGGGAACACTGGGGACCATGGTTAAAGGATAAGGTTGGGAGAAGCAGCTTTCTGTTAATGCCAGTCTGATTCTTCTTTGAGGTGGAAAACTCCAGTTCATGGTTCAAGGGTGTGAGAACATGTGCCCATCTATGAACCTCTTCTCTCATGGAACAAGAATGCAAATTATGTGCTGTCGGAATGAACCTCTCTGCAACAAGACCTAGAAGCCTGTGCCCCCACTTCTTGCTCTGACTCAGGCAGCTTCACTGCTCTACTTGGCTCAATTTATATTCAACTTCAACTAATCACAACTGTCTCTGCCTGATGAGACAAGAAGCTCCACCCTTATCTTTATAATACCCCATTGCCTATGCCCTCTGACTTCTCTGCTCCCCTCCTTCCCCAGATTTTCCTTTCTGCAATAAATCCCTATTGTTAAAGAACACAGGCTTCAGTAAGATTGTTTTTCATTAGTCTAGTTGCAAAATTGTTTCTTTCCATAACTAAAAAAAAAAGGAATGTTTTGCACAATCATTTATGAAAGCTGAAGCGGTCTCCTGGGTTAGATATAACCCTTGCTAATACAAGGTACACATTAACCTTCCACGGATCATAAGCAATATGTAGGTCTGTCCCCCACAACCTTCTACTTTTAGTACACACAACTCAATCCTTTTGTTTTTGAGCTTTTTGTCTTCAATAGTCCACTATGAACATAATGGAAACAAAATACTTTTCATTTAAGCAATCTATAATATTTAAATCATTTTCAGATCATCATAGAGGAGCAGGTGGAATACTGAACTGTCCTTCACCTCAAGTTGTTTTCAAGTGCATGGTTGCCACTTATTCTCAGGAAAGAACCAGAGGGTAGTTAGAAAAGATAGCATCCTTCCTCCACAAATAAGGAAATGTGACACATAAGACTTATTATTTAGACTCCACATTATTACAAATTGACTAACGTTACAGAACTAGTGAGACAACTGGATTCCAAAACCAAATCTGCATGTCCTCAAAGTGAGTCTTCACATTAAACATCATAGAGTCAAGAAGTTTTTTTCAAAACCAAAAAAATTAGGCATCACTAACACATAATTAAAAGCTCAAGAACAGCTACTGGTTTGGGTTTTTTTGTTTGCTTATTTTGTTTTTTGTTTGTTTGTTTGTTTGTTTGGTTTTTTTTTTTTGGTTTTTCGAGACAGGGTTTCTCTGTTTTGGAGGTTGTCCTGGAACTCACTCTATAGACCAGGCTGGCCTCGAACTCAGAGATCCACCTGCCTCTACCTCCCGAGTGCTGGGATTAAAGGCGTGAGCCACTGACGCCCAGCCCAGCTGCTGATCTTGTACATTGCAAAGCAACAGACTTTAATTTCAATAAAATAACTCACCACTTTTTAAATATTAAAGCTTATGGTATCATGACTACTTTTTTTTTTTTTAAATAGTCTATAGTCCAAGCTAACCTAGAATTTACCATGTAGCTCCAAGCTGGTCTCAAATTTGTAGCAATTCCTCTGGCTCAGCCTCCCAAGTACTGCCATGGTAAGTATGAGCTATCTACCATGCATAAGAACTCCTACACTTCATAAAACAGTGTCAGTTATAGAAAATGTAAATAAACACACACACACAAACACACTCATATCCTCACTCACACAAATGGCTCTTCTCAAAAATCACCTGAATAACAGGTTCCACTGATAGCAAAATGAACTCCTGTTAGCAGAGTTGATACAACTGGTCTCTTTGAGGGGAGGGGATATAGACCTACTAGCTATAAAGTATTGGGAAAAATAAAAATTCAAATGTGTTATTAAAAGCTAAGAGACTTCTGGCCTTCACCTTTGGGGACCAAAACTATCACAATTATACACATTATATACTCAATCAAAAAAAGTAAAAAAGCTTCAAAAGTTCTTCTGAAATAGAGAAGTCACTACAAACAAAAACTGCGCTGAGTGAGATCTGTGGGCTTCTGCATGATTAACTTTCAACCCATGTGGGCAAAAACCCAAAGTCAGTGGTCAGAGGCTTCAAAGAATACTGGCTAGAGCTGGCCAAGTAGCTGTAAATTGGGGGAATTCCTGGAGAAAAGAGCCACAGGAGAGACACTCAATTGAGGATCTACTCTGACCAAATTCTTGACTGATCTTCTGAATTCCAAGAAGCCCAATAACAGTAGTATCTGAAAGCTGAAAGAACAGAGCAGAGATCTGCTTGTGTGTGCAAGTCCTCCATGCTAATGTCCCACTAAAAAAAAAAAAAAAACCAGCACTCTTCACAGGAACACACAGCATCCAGAATCTCTACAACTCAGCATCTACTACATAATAATGTATTAGGCATAGGAAAGGAAAGGAACTAGTAGCCAAGGGAAGAAAAAGGCAATAAGACAAATTTATGAGCCTAAAGGGGAAAAAAAAAAAAAAAACTTAAAAAGACGGATACAAAACAGACAGCTAAGTAAAATAACTGGAAAAAATATCACTAGATGATTTTAACAGGATATTGGGCCCAAATAAGACATCACTCAAAGCCAGGTGTTGGTGGCCCATATCTTTAATCACAGCACTTGGGAAGCAGAGGCAGGCAGATCTCTGTGAGTTCGAGGCCAGTGTGGTCTACACAGCGAGTTCCAGGACAGGATCTAAAACAATACAGAGAAACCTTGTCTTGAAAAACCAAAATAACAGATATCACTCAATGTGAAGATAAATAGTATTCAATTGGAAGAAAGGAACAAAGCTTCAAAAATGAATTAATTGTTACCAAACACTATAGCATTTAAGTACAGCTCGAATTTGCCCATATTGGATGAAGAATAAGCTTACAGATCCATAGCAAGATAAACAGAAAACTGAAGGCACATAACAGTTGAAATACTTAAAGAGAATAAAATACGAATGTTTGCATTCATTACTGGCTTTTGCTCTACCCTCGAAACAGCAAGCCATACTTAGGGAGCAATAGCCCAGTTGTCAAAACCTGTTCTCCAACTGTGGGAACAGGCCTTATTTGCAACCTTCTAGCCCTTTGGGAGACTGCTGATAGGTCTATTTCTCCTAATTTAAGAGTTCACTCAAGAACAAACAAAACTGCTGTGATCGCAAGTTGGGAAAAACCATGGGAAACAATGAATAAAGTTACAGAGAGAGGGACTAAAGACAGGGACATACCTGAACATGAGGTTATGGCCAGAGGAATACAACAGAATATGTAAACTTCAGCTTGACATGATATAAACACTTTTAATCCAAATGCTTGGAAGATGAAGGTAAGCAATCAGAAATTCTAGGCTAATCTAGGCCACAGGAGAAGCTATCTTCTGAGATTAGTGAAGTGTCTGCCCCTCAAGCAGAAGGAACTACTTGAGTACCCATGTACCCATGGGTACCCATGAAAAAAATGCCTGTACCTCCCATAATAGATACAAATGTACATATGTGACAGGTAAGCAGAGCAAGCAGCTATATACATAGAGGAATTGAGAAAAATATACAAAGGCAAGATGAATAAGGAGACCAGAGATGACACTAACCCTTCACAGCAGCTTGAGCGGAAGACTCAAAACACGCCTTGCTATTATGATGTGGCCTGTTTTAGACAAAGCAACTTTAAGTGTTTTTTCAAGAAAAAAAAAAAAAACAAATTTTAAAGATTTGTTTTTCCTGTGTTGTCCTTATGTGTGCAGGTTTGTATGGATGAGTATGTGCACTTGAGCACAAGCGCCCAAAAAGTCCAGAAGAGTATATTGGAATCCCTGGAGCTAGCTATAGACTGTGAGCTGTCCTGTGTGAACGCCGGGAACTGGATTTAAATGCTCTGCAAGAGCAGTCAACTCTCTGAACCACTGAGCCCTATCTCCAGTGCCAAACATTCCACAAAACTATTGCAAGACATGCAAATAAAGAAGAAAAATGACTGTACTGAAACAGATTTTAGCCAGGCAGGTAGTGGTGGTGCACTTCCCAGATAGCCAGGACTACACAGACAAACCCACCTCAAAAAAAAAGAAAAAGAAAAAAAATTGTGTTCAAAAACAACAGTTTCACTCAAAGAATTGAGTGTAATTAGAAAACAATACATAAAGAAACAGTACCAGTGCTAGAAGAGTTCAAGAGCAGATTTAAATTAAGAGTCAGCAACTTCTTTCTTCAGTTCTGGAGATTAAGTCTAAGGCTTCAGTACTCATGTTAGGCAGGTATTCTACCACTGACCCATGTTCCTGCCTAACCCATCATCTCAGGACAGGTGACTTTAAATCTAAGGGATGGAGACAGGGTTGAAGTAAACAGTTTAATTGATTTAAAAGACACTATCAAACAATTAGTATTTGGGATCCCACAGGCAACAAAGGATAGACAGACAGCATTTGGATGAAATTCTTCCAAATCAGAAGACAGACATGGAGGTAAAAACACAGGAAATTCAATAAACTCTAGGGATGGCCCAGGAGAACCACACTGAGACATACACACTATTAAAAGACTATCAACAAAGACAAAAAAGGAATCTTGGAAGCATTAAAGTAACTCACTAAATAGAAAGGATCCCAAATATGATTCTCTGTTAACTAGATACAGTGTATACACTGGAGGCTGAGGCAGAAGAGTTGCAAGTTTAGTGTGGACCTGGACTATGACTGAGGCCCAAGTCACCATAGAGCAAATAATGCCACCCTATCCCAAAAGTGGTTTATAAAAATAAAAGATTATTAATTTCTAAGCAGAAACCTTGTAGGCCAAAATGCAGTGAGGTAATATAAACATTACTGAAAGAAAAAAAAATGGCTAAAGACTATCAACTAAAAATTCAGAGTCTGATAAAACAAAATTGTCCCTTGGAAATGAAGACAAATTAACATTCACAGAGGGAGAATTAAAGGAGTGGGTTATAACTATACCTGCTATGTAAGAAATGCTAAAGATGGTTCCTTCAACCTGAAATGAAAGGATGCCAGACAACAGAAAAAAAAAAAACAAAAAACAAAAAACAAAAACAAAAATACATGATATAAAGACCTCTGTAAAGATAATCATAAAAATCCTAGCTTAAGGATATAGTTCAATGATAAAGTGCTTTCCTGGCTTGAATGTGGCCCTAGGTTGGATCAACAAAAATATAACAACAATTATTTAAAAGCCAAGTATATGGAAGATAGCTATCAGCTCACCTTCCAAGTAAAAGCAGGCATGGTACCACTCATGTATAATCCCAGCTCTTGAGAGGCAGAGACAGGAAAATGAGGAATTCAAAGCCATCCATTCATATAGAGCAAATTAAAGGCCAGTCTAGATTACATGAAATCCTGCTTCAAAAGAACAAAAAAGAAAACATAGATCTATTGTAGTGTACATACAGGCAAAGATACAATTTTTTATATTAATAAAATTACATGGGGAGGACAATGCAGCTGTAAATATAGTTGTTCTGTCACAGTCAAGTTAGGCAAGGCATACCACGCAATCCCAGTACTTGGGTCACTAAGGCAGGAGGGGAAAAGAACCAGCCTAAACAGATAGTGAGTTCAAAGCCAGTCTGAGCTACATAGTCAGACCCTGTCTCTTAAAAAAAAAAAAGTTGTTATTAATTTTAAATAGTTGCTGGGTGGTGGTGCATGCCTTTAATCCCAGAACTTAGGATGGATCTCTGTGAGTTTGAGGCCAGCCTGGTCTACAGATTGAGTTGCAGGGCAGCCAGGACTCAGGACTGTTATATAGAGAAACCTGTTTGGGGGAGTGGGTAGGGGTTAAATATATTGTTCTACTTTACAAGAAAAGATAAAGAATAAAAATAATATAGCTACTATGGCAAACAATATTACAGTGCCCAAAAATATTAAAAACACAATTATCACATCACCTAGAAATTCTACCTCTGGGTATACACACAAAAGAATTAAAAACAGAGACTTGAGCAGATATTTATATATCCATTTTCACACCAGTATCATTTACAGTGGACAAAAGGTGGCAACAATCCAAACATACAAGAGTAAGTGCACATGTGCGGGGGAGGGGGGCATATGTGTGCGCACGTAGACACAACACAGGCACACATGCACACACGTGCACTGTGGAATATTAGTCACAGAAAGGAATGAAACCTGATATACGTTAAAACATAGATAATTCCTGAATACAGAAGTATGAAATAAGCCAAACACAAAGAAACAAATACCCAATTCTATTTATGGTAATTACAGGAGCATTCAAATTCATGGAGACAAATAGCAAAATGGTGGATGCAAAGGGCTGACAGGAAGCAGTAAGTCATGATTTGATAGACACAGGCTCTGGAGACAGTACTACATAACATCAGATGAAGAGACAATCACATAGAACTGTACAGCTCAGACCAAACTCGGAAATTTAAGTGTGATGAAAAGTTGTGAATGTGGGAGTGGGACCGTAGAAGTATCATTCTGATAGCTTTTCTAGAAAATAAACTACCAAGGAATAAGTAACAGTATTAAAAAGATGACCAATTTTAACCACTGTGGTACTACAATGTGGAAAACAGGAGACTGAATAGACTGGGTTCCAGTTAATTTCTGCGTCTAGGAGAGGTAAGTAAGCCGGCATACGCTAATATGTAACACACATTAGCCACAAAATTGTAAGTGTTCTTAGCTTCAGACTCATTGTAATTTATCTACAAAAAGGAATACAAGACCCCAATCATATAATTCATATTTTAATATAAATTTTATGAACAAAACAAAGCTTTAGTGAGTCTAGAAGGCAAGGAACAAGAATCAGGCCAATTCTTGTGTTTCCTTACTCCCCCATCTCCTTTTCCGTCAGTGTCATCTAGAAACTTGAGGCCAATAAGTTCACTGAGTTAGGCATTGATTTTGAAAACAGAATTTATTTCTAGAGTAAAAATATGGCTGTGAATGTAAAAAAAAAAAAAAATTAAGTGTGTAAAAATTAGAGTAAAGTAAGATAAGCACTGGAGCTTATGTTCAACTTCTTGAAAGACCAACCAGTACTTTATATTTGACTAGCTACACCAGAAAAAAAACAAATCTTGTAATTTTAATCATCATAACTCAAAAACAGTTTTATATAACTGGTCAAGCCCTTGTATGATACATACACCCAAACTAAAAATATAGTACATATCTCAGGATACATTTTTTGTAGCAAGCCTCACTTCATGGACCAATCAACTGCACATGGTCTGTTTATTCATTTTTACAATTAAATAGCAGAAAAGAAATATGTTTTCTTAGGATGAAACAAAATGTTCCTTTTTCATTTCAGAAGTGATACTACATTGGTATAAAAGCTGGATAAAAGCTGGAAAACTCATGTATCCCAAAACTTAATTTCTACCAGATAGTTTTCAAATTCAGACAATTTAAACACAGCTGGAGAAATACCCAATGAATTTGATCCATCCTTTCCCCAAAGTATTACATACAATTAAGATACAGTATTATATGTATGCAAAACATACTAAGAATTGGAAGATGTTTGGGTAATAGGAAGAGAACTCTTCAAAAAACTATTGTTTGCAGTTTGCAGGACAATCTTCTCTAGGAAGAATAATGTCAACATAGCAGCACTATATTCACCAGGAAACCCCAGAGTTGACAGCTTCATCATGTAGCAGGAAACCAAACCTTCTGGCTGCTCACAATATCACCGAGTTTCCCTTTGATCTTCAGGAAGTGTCTCTTGAACTCTAATCCATCACCCTATTTTAGGAATATTTTTAAAAAATAAAAAAAGGCTGTGTCAAAGATCATATTCTCATTTCTGGTCAGTAGAAACAAACACCCTTAGATACATCCAGTTATGGCATCCTCATGTCTTCTTTTTTCCCTTCTCCCTGTTCTTCTGAGAATACTGGATTTCAGGTATGTACCACTCTAGCTTAGTTATTCATTCCATATAAATCTATAGCATTTTGGCTTACTTGAGCAGGCTATTATAGCATCTTATGGGTTCTTCATTAATAATTTATTAAATGCAAACTGAATCCAGTCCACTTGTGAAGACCAACAATTCTACCTTGTTGGAAATGGCTACCTTGGCAATTCTCACCTGATTATGTGCTCTTCACTTTCCACACTGAGCAGAGAAAGAATAATGGCTTTTTTTTTTTTCTGTTTCAAGGGCTAGTACCTTTGGACCTATACCAATTGTTTTCCATAAGCAGCAGGAGTTGGTGAACTAAACCCAAGCCACATTGAAGTTTTATCATTAAAAAAAAAAATTCCACTAAACTTAGTTATGACAACAGTTTCAATAGAGGAGAAGCCTTCATAATGGAATTACATACCAAGAATATAGAAAACAATACTGCAGCCAGGCCAGGCGGTGGTGGCGCACACCTTTAATCCCAGCACTCAGGAGGCAGAGGCACTCGGATCTCTGTGAGTTTGAGACCATCCTAGTCTACAAAAGCTAATTCCACAACAGCCTCCAAAGCCACAGAGAAACTCTGTCTCGAAAAACCAAAAA